CGAGCTAAAGATTACGAACACAGCTGTCGCTCACTCTTGTACAGCACGTACTATTACTTCAAAGTTCGCAGTTGCAAAGGGACTTTTTTTTGCATGGATCTCCACTACTATTCTTGTATCTCAAAGATTAAACAAAATTCCAACATTTCATATTGAAACACCTCTCCTAGCCTCCAGCTTTGAGGATTCCCTTGTTGCTCCTTTTTTTACCTCATAGACCTCATAGATCTCTGTACTCCTCATACTTTACTTCTGTTTTTCGTTTTACACTTCCTTTGGCTCACAAACTCTTTTAATCTTTTTGTGTTATTACTGTTGAGTATTCAGGCATCCAAACTTCTTATCAGCTATTTCATTTTAATATAATTCAAACTCTTCAGTCGAAAAATACAGACGCTGACTCCTTTTTTAGTCCAGACATTGACTCCCTTTCTTTCACTTTTAAACTCTGAAAAAATGCTGTTGTCACTAGAAACATTCTTGTCAAAAAGTGCATTTTTGAGGGCTTCATTTTTGTTTCCAAACCTTATTGAATTTTGAGCAGCCTCACAGATGAACTTACACCACTACCTGTATGTTTGTGCAGTGAGTGTTGCAATAGCTCGCTTGGAAGTGCCCAAAATTTACCGAAGCTACGCTACAATTTTTTCATAAGGGTTCTATTCTGCCAGCGGAACACTCTTTCCTCTGCGGCTCGTTCATCGGTTTTAAGATAAATTGGTACCAGCATATAGCAAGGCACATAGCCGTCAGCTTGCTTGTAAGCAACCTTCAAGAAAGGGAAGCAATAATAGCCTTGTAAAAGCGTGACTACAAATTGACAAGTGTTGCTGATTGGACTACTTAAAGGCGCTCGGAAGTAGTCCAATCAGCAACACTTGTCAATTTGTAGTCACGCTTTTACAAGGCTATTATAGCTTCCCTTTCTTAAAGGTTGCTTACAAGCAAGCTGACGGCTATGTGCCTTGCTATATGCTGGTACCTCTCATAAAAAGTGAATGCTAAAGGGGCTTTTACCTTGAATAATTTTTGATCTTATTTTATTCACACGCCGTACTCATTTGCGCAATTCCAAACATATATATATATATATATAAACAAGCGGTTCCCGTTTGTGTAATATGTGTGAACACTCTTTCAGAAATCCTCTTATCCTGTTACCTCCGATTGTGCGTACTTCAATCCAAACTTTTGAGGCACTTAACATGAGTAAAGTTCATTTTTACAAAATCAAAAATGCAGGTCTTAGTATCAATTTTGTTAACAGAAATCCTGTTTTTTATTACGTGGAAAAATGCTGAACGTAACGAATATACCTTTATTTAGAATTTAATCAGCTAGAAATATCGGCTTGTAGTATCCAATACACATCAAGATCGGCAGGATGCGAATGCATCTTGGTCTAGGATTTAACCAGCTAAAAATCTTTCGATATCCAAAATATGTCAAAAATGTTAACCCTGCCAGGACAATCGGTGTGGGTGTCCCATATATTAGTGACTTTACTAGGATGCTCCCACATTCCGAACACTTTTATTATCGGTATTCTAGCGTATAGATTGTTTCACTTACATGTTGCTTATATTACATACATAACTCAGCTGTTTAGAACTGGTTCAAATAATTGATTTGAAATTAAACTAAAAGTAATTTTTCACGTGAAATCTGGTGCCTGATGTTTGGCGTATGACCCGTACCAAAAAAATTTTTCGCTTGAATTTTGATAGTACTTTTTAACTCTTAATCTGGATTAAAAATATTTCTTCCACAGGATCTGATTTCTAATGTCCGATCTTTAACTTTTTTCATGATCACTTCAATTGCGGTGCGCATTTTACCACGCAAGTCAGCTGTTGTAAATCTAATTTTCCAGGTCAAAAAAGCTCAATGCTCAAAATTGCTTTGATTTTGGTGATCCCGCTGGCTCATTTAGTAGCTCCGTCGGGCAAGGGTGCTGTGGTGAAAATTGAAAACGTAAGTGAAGTGTTTTACATTTTTGCTTAAAATCATTTTCGCCTCATTTAGAGCACCTGGATCAGCTGGAGTTCACAATCTATTTTTCCCGCTTGCAGCTACTACTGTATCAGTTTTTTTGACCATTGTTGCATCATCAGTAGCGGTAAGTCTACTGGCTATCCGGATTTAGTTTTGCTTTCTCAAATGGCGATTATCAAATTAACGGATCGCCTGAAACATTTCAAGCAGCTTCACGGTGTCATTGGGGTGCATCGAGAACTACCACATCATTCTAAGCGTTGCTAAACATTAGACAGGGATAAACTAACATTACCTCTACAGATTGGAAAAAAATTATTACCATTCAAAAATCGCATTTTTTTACAGAAGAAGTTTTAAAATTACCGGTTAAATTTTTCTGCTGATTAATAATACGTAACG